TTCTGCAAACCTTTTATAAACAAACCCCTAAGTCTTTGTACAATTGTACAGTCAGTAGGACCAACCATACAGTAAATATGAACACATGATCATGTTTTATGAAGCATACACCATTCAACTAGGAAGATCCATGAGTGAATCAGCCCAAAAGATGAATGAAAAAAACTCATAGTGCTTTAAGGCAGTTTAGTTCTAAACTAGCCTTTCTCAACCAGGGTGCTTTGGTACCCTGTTGGGCCTTCTGGCTTCCTCAGTAATGCCTCAAAATCTTGTGGTACTGGGACTGTGATGTGAAGGGGGAATGGAGACTGAGGTGAAGGGGCTTGCGATGTAAAAGGGGAACTCTGATATGAAAGGGGAGCTACTGATGCAAAGGGTGAATCTGATGTAATGGGGGGCGGGGGGTTAATTTAAAGGGGCACATCGGTGTGAAGGGAAAAACCCACTTTTTGTGTGTTTTTGTGCATGGGGTTCTCCCTTAAAATCTATGTCATTTAGACTGAGATTTTGCATACTATTAAAGGGTGCCATGGCTAATAAAAGGAAGAGAAACATTGCTCTAGACAATCTGATTATCTCCCACGTGTTACCTTAGATGTGGTGGCTGCATTCGTTTTCTTTTACAAGCTAAGAACATTTTCTGCGAGAAATAAGAATACCTGTTGATCCTGATAGGAAATCCAGCCTAGATGTTCAGCAGACTCTAGGTACATTTAGTCTAGCTGCATTTACACAAACAAGAATGTTGTGCCTACCAATTATTCCCCATTCACACAGAGAGTTATGCCACGTCCTTGAATTCCTGTGGCAGGATAGATGCATCCAGTGACAATCATCTATCCCAAACAACATGTAATCGTACCATGTGCTATTGCATGAGGACTGCTGCTGAGAGATACGGCCACTGACACCCTGGCTTTACCTAAAATGGGTACAGCGGCCTCATCTGAACGGGGGACACCTGGTATTCCTCGTCATCACTCGTTCTACCTGATGAAGGGGATCCTGCGAGACCCCGAGTCTGTTATGCTTTTTTGCATGTACGTCAATAAATAGACATATTTGCTACTGGAGTGCAGTATTCTTAAGTACCTGGGATGCCTGCTGAAGAAATTTGTAGGTTCTTGCTGCAAGAATCCCAAAACGCCCCCGTGCAAATTTAGCCTTAGTGTGCATTCTGCATGAGAAAAATGCTGGTCATTTTTTTTTGTGACCCATTCACGCTCCCATTGATGGTGTGATACTGATGGAGCGATCCACCAAGTGGCAGACAAGGAGGGAAGTCAGGTTCAAGCCGAAGTCATACACAGGGAGACGAATATTGAGGTGTCGAATCACAGATCAGGATCAGGAAACGTAAGCCAGGGTCATACACAGCAGATCAGAGGTACCAAAGCAGAAGGGGGAAGAGGAGTCAATTGATCACAAGCCGGGTTCATACATAGGAAATCAGGATACAAGAACAGTGTACAGGGCACACAGGGACAAGCTGAAGACCACTCAGCAACTTGGACATTGCTTCTTGTCTGTTTATATAAGATAGTGTGCACGTTAATGATTGTGCACCTGTACACTAATGAGCACACTCCTGCACGCTCATGTGCCTGCGCTATATCGCATAAACGTTCCTGTACGCGCACGTTCACGTGCTGAAGCGCGTTTTCCATTAACTTTAAGCAATGGATTGCATACTTGTGTGCGTGCACATTCTGGGGCAGGAGTCAATTTGCAGGTAAGTCTCTTACAGGCAGCTGGAAGTGGGTGGGAGATATTAGGCAGCAAGCGAACATTTTGTCCTGATGTTGATGTGTTGGAAGCCAAAAAATTGGCAATAGAATGTGCATTCGGATTCAGACTAACTTCAACTCAATCAACAAAAAATCTGTTGATTTGGCGGTTTGCCCGAATCCGAAATAGCAAATTATTATATGCCTAAATATACGAAAAACTATATTCGGGGCATATATGAATTCGTTTGCAGAACATGCAGCGGCCATATTGGCCACCAGCGCCTTTGTGCTGCTATCTTGGAGGCAGAGCGCATGACGTCACATGACATCCCGCATGCGCAGTGTCGGTTGACGTCATATGCATGTATGGGTGCTGCCATCTTGGTGTATACCAAGATATACACCAAGGGGGCGGACCCATACATGCATAGGATGTCATGTGACATCATACACTCCACCTTCAAGATGGCAGGTGTGCATGCGCAGAACGTGCCGGTGGCCGCCTGCGCCTTCTGCTGCTTAAATGTGTGGTTTCAGATTCAGAGGTTCTTTGGCTCTGAATCCGAAACAGTGTAATTATTTATTCCATCAAATGAATGAAAATTTTGTTATTTTTCAATGATTTTGTCCGAAAATGTTTTTTTATACTGTGCACATGTCTGTTGGCAAACATAAGGATTTGAATGTCTTTTCAAGGGCCAAATTGTGATAGCTAGACGACTGGGTCAGAGCACCTCCAAATCTGCAGCTATTGTGGGATGTTCCCAGTCTGCAGTGGTCAGGACCTACACAAAGTGGACCAAGGAAGGAAAACTGGTTAGCTGTCAACAAGGTCATGGGTTACCTAGGCTCATTGATGTACAGGGGGAGTGAAGGCTGGCCGGTGTGGTCCGATCCAAGAGAAGAGCTACTGTAGCTCAAATTGCTGCAAACGTTAATGCTGGATCTGATAGAAAGGTGCCTGAACACACAGAGCATTGCAGTTTGTTATGTATGGGACCTCGTAGCCACGGACCGGTCAGGGTACCCATGCAGACCCGTGTCCGTAGCCAACAGTGCCTACAATGGCCACGTGAGCATCAGAACTGGACAACGGAGGAATGGAAGAAGGTGACTTGGTCTGATGACTCACATTTTATTTTACATCATGTGGATAGCCAGGTGTGTGTGTCGCTTACCTGGGGGAGAGATGGCACCAGGATGCACGATGGGAAAGAAGCAAGCCGACAGAAGCAGTGTGATGCTTTGGGTAATGTTCTGCTGGGAACCCTTGGGTCCTGCCATTCATGTCATGTGGACATGACATGTACCACCTACCTAAACATTGTTACTGACCATGTACACCCCTTCATGGAAACAGTATTCCCTGATAACAGTGGCCTCTTTCACCAGGATAATGTGCCTGCCACACTGCAAAAATGGTTCAAGAAAGGTTTGAGGAAAACAACAAGTTTGAGGTGTTGACTTGGCCTCCAAATTCTCCAGATCTTAATCCAATCGAGCATCTGTGGGATGTGCTGGAAAAACAAGTCTGATCCATAGAGGCCCCACCTCGCAACTTAGAGGACTTAAAGGATCTGCTAATGATGGCTTGGTGCCAGATACCACCGCATGCCTTCAGAGGTCTAGTGGAGTCCATGCTTCAACAGGTCAGGTAACAATTGGGGAACCTACTCACAGGGTTATTCACTATAGAGTGAAGAGTTTGGAGAAGGAAAGAGAAGTGAACAATCTAGGGCAACATAGCTGAACTGGAAAGTGAGCTGAATTGGAGAATTTTTTCCACATCAGCTATGTTGTCCTAGAGTGTTCACTTCTCCTGCCTTCTCCAAACTCTTCACCCTTTTGTGAATAACACAGGCAATATTAGGTGGGGGTCATAATGTTATGGCTGATCGGTCTACACTTTAAAGGGATAGTTCACCTTTGTGCACATTTTTCAAAAAAATCCACCGTGCTTTCCATCATCCCCAGCACATTACAAAGCACTTCTCTCCCTCTAGCTGCTGACGCTGGAAGGAGAGCGTGCGCACTGCGCATGGGCAGTTTGAAAGTGCCAGGGGCGGGGGCGCACTCCTAACATCCAGCCCATCCTGCTGTTTAGCCCTGACAGAGGGAGATCAATCACCTAGAGATTTTTACAGACAGGTCGTTCAGGATCTACAGGTATGCAGAGGGAGCGGAGCAGCTGTTTTAACATCCTCTGGAAAGTGAATGAAAAATGTGCAGCAAGGTGAACTAACCGTTGAAACAGCTTTTTAACGTACAATTGAAAACGAAACTTGTTTTAGCTTTAGATAGAGTGGAGACGGACTAGAACCCTTTTTTTAGGTTGTTATTGCTGTCCTCTCTATTTGTCCTGGTGACCATTATCACTGAAAGTTGGTTGTCACCAGAACAGGAATAGCTGGGAAATCTTCCAATGGGGGCTCTAGTTCTGACCACCTAGGATTTCCAGCACTTTGGAGTGATTACCTCTCACTTCCTGCTGTGCCTTTCAGCCAGGAAGTGAAATCTCTCCAATGGGAAACAATTGGCAACAAATAGGGGTTTTAACCCTTCCTTACCCTATCCAAAACTAAAATCTTGGTCACAGTTCTGCTTTAAACGTTTTGGCAACTAAAGATTCGTTTTTCTATATCTGCAACACTAAAATATTTACAGATATGAAAAACAGAAATGTTGAACAATTCTGAGCATTCTCCATCCTCCTGGCAACATTTGTCATTTCCAGAACAACAGGTGGAACTGTCAATGGTTGCAGCAATCCATCTACAGCCAAGCCATACTGTCTGACCCATGGAAGGGCATGATATAGTGGTGACAGGTTGTGTCTGATCCAGCACTGCTGAGACTTGTAGTTCCACACCTGATGGTGAGCCATTGTTTGCTCGCCCATCCAGAAATGTGATCAACAAGTAACAGCAGAGAGTGAGGATGAAAATGAGAGAGAGAGAGATGTGTGTGCACACATCCCCGGTGATCAGTATGAGTCACACGGCGGGGTCCCGGTGATCGGTATAAGTCACACGGCGGGATCCCGGTGATCGGTATGAGTCACACGGCGGGGTACAGCACACGTTGTCCTCATCAGCTGTCTGCAGACACAACAAACCACCCCCCCCGCCGCTCCTTGTATACAGCACCGAGCTGGCTCTGCCTCACAACCGCCGCTGATTGGTGGAGCTCCGCTGTCACGTGGTCACAAACTGCAATCTGGAGCTGCGGGAGCGGAGCTGGTGTGAGATCTGCCCGGAGCGGCCAAAATTTCGGAGCTGACACCAGGAGGGGAGAACCATATCGGGGGCCACTATGTCCGGGGCCACAGCCTGCCACACACTCCTCACCACTTTCCTGACTTTCTGCCTGTTTCTGGCGGCGCGGGGTGAGTGCTCGTCTCCTGACTACTTATACTGTGGTGTTACTCCAGGGCTGTCACCTCCTAGCAGGACGAGTGTGACATGTCGTGTCCGACTAAAGGGACACTGAGGTGCAGGATACCATGTATATGGGGGGACAAGTAACAATGACACTGAGGACATGATGCAATGTATATGGGGGGACATCGATGGACAAGTTACAATGTATATGAGGGGACACTGAGGACAGGATACAGTATTTATAGGGGGACACCACTCAGGACAGGATACAATGACTCTGGTTGGACAGTAAGGGACAGGATACAGTGTATCTGGGGGGGACACTGAGGCATAGGATACACTGGCTCTTGTGGGATACTGAGGGACAGGTTACAGTTTTATCTGACAGGTCACAGAGGGACAGGCTACAATGGCTCGGGTTGGACACTTAAGCACAGGATAAAATGGCCCTGGTTGGACCCTGAGGGACAAGATACAATGGCTCTGTTGGCACAACCTGGGATAGGCTACAATGGCTCCGGTTGGAATACTGAGGGACAGGTTACAATATATTTGGTGGGTCACTGAGGTTAAGGTTACCATGGCTCTAGTGGGACACTGAAGCACAGGATACAATGACTCTGGGGAACACTAAAAGACAGGGTACAATGGATCTGGTTGGAATACTGAGGGACATTGAAGCACAGGATACAATGGCTCTGGTGGGACATTGAAGCACAGGATACAATGGCTCTGGTGGGACATTGAAGCACGGGATACAATGGCTCTGGTGGGGCATTGAAGCACGGGATACAATGGCTCTGGTGGGGCATTGACGCACGGGATACAATGGCTCTGGTGGGACATTGAAGCACGGGATACAATGGCTCTGGTGGGACATTGAAGCACGGGATACAATGGCTCTGGTGGGACATTGAAGCACGGGATACAATGGCTCTGGTGGGACATTGAAGCACGGGATACAATGGCTCTGGTGGGACATTGAAGCACGGGATACAATGGCTCTGGTGGGACATGGAAAAAGCAGGATTGAATGCTGAGGCAATGAGAAATGTTTTGTTCTAAGAATGTGATGCTGTACTTTGTGACTGGAGGGTCGTTACCTGTCTGGGTATTAAGTGGGCCATTACCTGTCTTTGTATCTGATCTTATTTCAGTGGATTCTGAGCCATGTAAGACTAGTAGAGAAATAAAACCAGATCTATACAGTTCTCACTTTCTGTTATTTCATAACCCGAGTGTAAAGTGTAATCTAAGGAAAGGGTTCATTCACTATGCTAAATATTGCTATTTTCTGTAATTACTGTTATTTTCAACAATGAAACTGAAAATACGGGTCACATGGCTGAAAATAACAATTATTATGACAAATAACACTTGTGAAAACCTTAACGTTTACATGTCAATTCACCAAGTTATATCACGTGTAAGTTGCCATAACAATTGTTGTTTTCATCTCTCATTGTCCCTCATTGCTGAAAATAACAGTCATTATGGAAAGTAGTTGTAACTTAGCGAATCTGAATGTCTTTGTATGGGTGAAGGCAGCATGGCGGTGTGTGCGGCCAGTTCTTTGCCACAGCTGAGGCTATTTCAGGAGTCAGGCGGTGACTGGCCCAGTTACTTAACTCCTCCATCTCTCACAGATTTGGGAGATGTAGCATTTTCCTTTAACGCCTGAACTTCTTATCTGATGTCTGCTCAGAACCCAAAATCAGGACCCCCCCCCCCCGGCGGCACATCACCATGGTCCTTTTC